TATTCCTTTGATAGCTAATATGATGACAGCATATTACGACTAGAGGTTTGGAGGATTCAATACAGTACACAAGTCTAAAACGTGCGCCGATGACTGGTGGCCTACGAAAATCGCTACTTTTGAAAATCCGTACTGCAGGTGTTTACTATTTAAATTGATATCCTTTGAACCTCAATTGATGGGCTGCATCTTACGGTTATTTTTATATATGTATCACCTCAATATGTGTTGTAGTCAACGAGAAATCGACGAACAAAGTGAGCAAACAGCGATGCTGATGCCTCACGTTAGGATAAAGTATGGGATCTGTATTGCTAAATTTATCTCTTTGATTGGTTCATTTTTGGCTCGAAGCATCTTGCATATAGAAGATATTGCTTGTTTTAGATAATTCGACCGGTATCAGGTTGATTTTTCAAAATATCTAACATTTCAGGACAGAGGTAGTAAGCAGTACTAGTACATACTAGTACTACCGTAGGTTCATCACCTCAATGGTGAGATATTTATAACCATATACGTACTGTAGTACTACTACTACCTAGTACTGGTATGTCAGTGTCACCTTCACATCCAGCCGCTGTCGACGTGGTCATGCGCTTCCCGTTCGTCTTGTCTGTGGTCAGTGCCGCGTTCATCGAGTTCGACGGCCATCGCTACGACCTCGACCCAGCAACCCAGAACACCCCCATTCGATTGACGGACCAGCATCTGCGTCCACCGCCGCCGCGCCTCCCGTCTGTGTTTGACATCTTCATCGGCATTTCGTCCTACCGAGACGGCGTGCGCTGCGGGTTCACGCTCTTCACCGCGTTCTCCCGCGCAACACACCCGGATCGAGTGTACGTGGGGGTTGTGGATCAAGTGTTGCCGACGGATGCAACCTGCCTGGACGAATACTGCAAGCTCTCGACAAGTCACTGGGGCGAGTGTAAGTTCAAAGACCACATCACGATCGACAGTCACGACGCCGCCGCCTCCCAAGGCCCGACCATCGCCCGCCACGCGCAGCAGCAGCTCATCCGCGATGAGGAGTTCTGTCTGCAGCTGGACGCACACAGCCAGTTGCTCGCAGACTGGGACACCAAGCTAGTCAAGGAATGGGTCCGCACTGACAACGAGATGGCCGTGCTGACGGCATACCCCTCGGGCTTCCACATGATCGGCGAGAACGGCACGTACCCGCACCTCTCCGCGTCCCATCTGTGCGACCACTCCAAGCGGTCTGGTCCCGACGACATTCCCTTCGCCACAGGCATCTTGTTCATCGAGTACTCGGAGCGGCCGCAGCTGTCGGCGTTCTTCGGCGCGGGTCTGTCGTTCTCCAAGTGCCATGCCGAGAAAAGGGTGGCGGTGGACAACTACACCAAGTGGCTGTTCTTTGGGGAAGAATCCCTACGCTCGTACGCGCTATGGTCCCACGGGTATGACCTCTACAGCCCCAGTCGCCACGGGTCGGTCGTGTTTCACAACTGGACCAACGACCCTTCCCGCACGTCGTACGTATGTATATATATAGATTGCATTGGGAAATTTCCTACTATATACACTCTATATAAGGGCTACCTGGGTGTCACGCCGGGGAAATTTCCCATCACTTTATTCTCACCTCTTTCAAATGTCTTGGGACTTTTCACCAATGGATTCACACCTCTTTGAAATGTCTTGGGCCTTTTCATCAGTTAAGTATGCTCACCTCTTTCAAATGTCTTGGGGCTTTTCATTCGTTTGTGTTCACATCTTTCAAATGGTTTGATCCTCACATTGTTCAAATGCCTTGGATCTTTTCACCAGTTTAGGCTCACAACTTTCAAATGTCTTGGGACTTTTCACCATCACATCGTTCAAATGTCTTGGGACGTTATGTTCACCTCTTTCAAATGTCTTAATTATAACTCACCACTTTATGCTCACAACTTTCAAATGTCTCGGGCCTTTGCACACCATCCTATCTATGTTCACCTCGTTCAACTGTCTTGGGACTTTGGATTGCTTGTTGACCTACTGTATGTAGTATGGGTTCTATGACAATCCCCCTTCACCTGCAGACCCTTTCTTGATAAAACTGATCCTACATTTGTGCTAAACTAACTTTATGCTTGTAGGTACATGCATCACCCACTGCCCGAAGCCGCGCGGCGCCGCCGGGCGGACGAAGAGAAGGCCAGTGGGAACCGCGTGCGCGCGGTGCTGACGCTGCCGTTCCATGGAGATGTAGACACGACTGGCTTGGCCTGGTTTTATAACGGGTCGGTCCGGTCCATCGAGTCTTTTCTGGGCTTTCACGGCGTGTCCAATGCTAACGCTAGCTGGGACCAAGAACGATGCCATCAACTGCACTGGGTGCCGTACGAAAGGCCAGAGATCGTCGAGCAGTTGCTCCCGGGGTGGGTCCAGGAGGCACTTGGGGCTCACGAACGCAGCAACGACATGCACAACCTCGTCGCAGATACGTTAGAAGCCCTGAAAGCCCAGTGGACCAAAGACAAGGAGCATATCCTGCACAACATGGAGCTAATGCACCTGAAGGGCCTCGAAGAACGCACCCATCTGCCGGCGTCCGTAGCGGAAGTTCTGCCGGCGATGGCGGTCGTGGTCGCACTGGCGTCGGTGGCACTCGTCACACGCTGGCGACGACGGTGTACTACTAGTAGCCCTGGTAGTAGTACTCCTACTACAAGTAGTAGTAGTGCCGCCAAAGGCTCGGACTACGCGTGATGTGGTAACTCGGTTCGTTGGACACGTAGTAATACTACTAGTATTACTATAATTGAAAAACGAACAAAATGTACTGTACCGGTACTACCTCTGTCCGAAAATGTTTGCTACAACCAGCAGAAATCGTGAATGAACTTGAAAATAGATAAAGTATAATGTTCAAAAGGTATGTATTTGTAGAGGAGAAATCATGGATCACCAATAGAAGATCTTCGCACCAAAAAACATCCAATCAAACCAGCAATCATACATGCAAAGCTCTATACTTTATCCAATATATGTAACATGGACGACTCCAGGCTTAGTATAACGTTGGGCAATCAGTTAAGTATGCTCACCTCTTTCAAATGTCTTGGGGCTTTTCATTCGTTTGTGTTCACATCTTTCAAATGGTTTGATATCCGCGATGAGGAGTTCTGTCTGCAGCTGGACGCACACAGCCAGTTGCTCGCAGACTGGGACACCAAGCTAGTCAAGGAATGGGTCCGCACTGACAACGAGATGGCCGTGCTGACGGCATACCCCTCGGGCTTCCACATGATCGGCGAGAACGGCACGTACTAGTACATACTAGTACTACCCCTGGGAGACCACACTAGGCGGTTCTTAGATGCGTATCTTGCAAGGACTTGGTACTTACTAGTACTACTAGTACTTAAGACTTACGGGACAGCATTGAATATTAATACCAACCTTGGATACTATGGTTAATATAATATAATTGTTGAATTAAAAGCATGGATGACATGTGGATGAAATTTGGATGACATTGGATGAAGTTGTGGGATGAAACCTAAAGTAGTGACCAAGCCTTACGTTGGCCCCGAGCGCCCGGGAGGCCGTCTGCGCAAGCGCGGCCGTACGAGAGCGCGGATCTAAGCTTCTCACTTCACCGAATGATCTATCTTTTCTTCTTGTCGGGCAGCGGCAGGTAGGCCGTAGGCCGTGCCGCTCCCAGACGAGGCCTGTATACAATGACCTAGCATTATCCTAATTTACTCTCATCTATACTAATTAGGATATGACCTAATATTAATGGTGGATGACGTTGTGATGACGTTTGGATGACACATGATACTATCACGGATATTTGAAATCCATATAAATAATTAGTAGTACGCTGTGTGCTGTGGTTGTTGCCTGGGGAGTTAAACCCTATAAAACCCACATACTATTCGACAATAGTGTTGTTTGATTGGGCAAGAATGTCAATGTTCAACATAGGTTAAATGGAAAAACGTAACAACGCGATTGAAGTTGCAACCAACGTTCATCTAACAATCAGCCACGCTTCTCTCTCATGCACTTCCGAGCCGCGGCTGCCTTCGCCCTGGCGGGTGTAGCATCTACGTCCGTGGACATGTACAACCCACCCAACATCAACTACAACACGGAGCACGGCATTGTTCGGCACATCCTGGACCCAGCAACCCAGAACACCCCGCTTCGCTTCACCCAGCAGCATCTGCGTCCACCGCCGCCGCGCCTCCCGTCTGTGTTTGACATCTTCATCGGCATTTCGTCCTACCGAGACGGCGTGCGCTGCGGGTTCACGCTCTTCACCGCGTTCTCCCGCGCAACGCACCCGGATCGGGTGTACGTGGGGGTTGTGGACCAAGTGTTGCCGACGGATGCAACCTGCCTGGACGAGTACTGCAAGCTCGCAACAAGTCACTGGGGCGAGTGCAAGTTCAAATCCCACATCACGATCGACAGTCACGACGCGTTAACGTCCACAGGTCCCACGGGCGCCCGCCACGCGCAGCAGCAGCTCATCGGAGACGAGGAATTCTGCCTTGAACTCGATGCCCACAGCCAGCTCATCACGGCATGGGACACCAAGCTAGTCAAGGAATGGGTCCGCACCAACAACGAGATGGCGGTGCTGTCCACGTATCCCATGGGGTTTGAGTACATGCACGCCCAAGACTTGACCTTCCGCGACTCGATATCCACACACCTCTGTCGACACATGCACCGGTCCAGCGCCGACGCGATCCCGTATACCAAGGGAAGCTCCATCATCCACGACTCCGAGTGGCCGCAGATGGCCGTGTACTTTGGCGGCGGACTCAGCTTTAGCAAGTGCCATGCCGAGAAGCGCGCCGTGGTGGACGCCAACATGAAGTGGTTGTTCTACGGAGAGGAATACCTCCGGACTATGGCGCTATGGACGCACGGATATGACATTTACTCACCCAGTCGACATGGCGTTGCTGTGTTTCACAACTGGACCAGCGACCCCCATCGCATTCAGTACGTTAATATGCTAACTTTTGTCTTTGTTTTAAACCCAAACTTTGGCTAACTTTAGTGGTAAATCGCCAAATCCATCGATCGATTCTTCGTAGTACTTTGTACTATGTAAAAAGGTGTACGAATTGAAGTTGCATACACTAATTAGATGTTGACGAGGGTTTTCCGGAATCTGATTGGCTCATAAATCCTTCCTTTGGTTGTGTTCGATGGTGGAAGAGTGGATTTGATTGGCCAGTTGATTCGTGTTCTGGGTTTTGATTGGTCGATCGATTGTCTGTCGATTCATGTTCGATTGAGCACCTCCTCCCCCTCCAATTTCGAATCGACTTGACAATGGTTCAACTACAATTAGTAACTAACTCGCTATTAATAGTATGTATTGCGTTTCTACCGTATTTACTAGTAATAGAATTATGAACACGGAATAGTATTACTATTTCTAGTGGATGAACAATTCACGGGGATACACACATATTGTGCATTTCAGCTAGCATTCGAATCCATTTGATCCAATTTAAGCTTGTACAAACTATACTTTGCAGCGATTAAAATATATGGTCTTTCTTTTCCCCTATATTTGGCCTTTTTTGTGCTGATTCTTTGCCAAATCTATCGATCGATTCTCATTGTAACTACTGACTTTTTTATGTATGTAAAGAGCGTCCAGTATCACACTAATTACTACTTCGATGTTGAATTGGTCGAAGAGTGATAATTTGATTATTGGTCACTTGGTTCGTGTTTTTGATTGGTCGTATACTACTGTAAATCGATCCAATTTCGAATATATCGACTTGACAATCTATGGTTTGGGCCGAGTCAACCGTTTGGATTGGCAGAAATTTTAGAAGAATGTGATTTGATTGGTTCTTGAATCGTAACGATTTGACAACAACTATTGTACGATCTAGTTTTTGGAAAGATACCCCCCCAGCCGCGTTAAACGCCAAGTACGACCAAGAACAGCAGACTTATAATCGGCTCAAGAACATCCTGAAGCTCCCGTTTCAAGGATATGTGGATATGACGGATGTGGCCAGCTACAGCTACGGACTGGTGCGATCGGTGGACCAGTTTATCGAGTTTTCCGGCATCTCCCCAACCAACGCCGAGTTGGACACACATAGGTGCAACCAGCTGCACTGGGTGCCGTACGCCCGTCCCGAGGTGGTCGAGGCGTGGGTGCCTGGCTACCATATGCACCCACTGGCTCCAGCAGATATTAGCCCATCTCAAGCAGCAATGAACAACAAACAAGTTCAAGCGTTGATGGACCTACTAGTTAACGCGACTAGTAGTACTAGTACTACCCACGACCTAGTAGCTGCGGGGAAGCAAGCGATTGCAGATGGATTAAGCCAACAGAAAGCCAACGTGGACGAGTTACTCAAGCAGGTGGCGGCGTTAACTAGTCTTAGTAACGAGTGGAAGCAAGTAAAGAACGCCGTGGTTCAAGACAAAGAGCAGCGGTGGACAGAGCTACTTTTGAACCAAGATTTGCTCAAGAAGATGGAAACGCAGCTCAAACAACTCACGGAAGCGAGAAAGAAGGACTCCTCTGTGGTTGAGATGTTCTTGCCAGGATTTGGGATCGCGGGGCTGGTGGTGGTCGTGCTATTGTTTGTGTTGGTTCAAACACGACGAGGAAGGACCCAATACCACCAAGTGCCCACCACCCAATCATCCTTAGAATAACAAGAAAAAAGAAGAGTTGGGTGCGTATGCGACGTGGTTAACGTTATTAGGCAGTATAGGGTTCAAGTGTACGTACATATGTGCGATGATGATCACGTAAGACGACTACTTAGTTGACTTCTAAACAAACGGAATGTATAGTTATCGTAACATCTCGTTCGTGTGAAGGCAGGTTTCATTCCATGCATATTATTCGGCCAAATTTGGGATCCAGACAGATAATTTTTCATTTTTTGCCGATTTCTACGAAATTGCCAAAATATCAAAGAATTTGGCCCTCTTTTTTGACATCCAGACTCACCCTTTTACTGGATTTTGTGTGTACAAAGATGTGATTGATATTACTCCACGCTAATTAGAATCTGTTGCTGATTTCAATCTGATGGAGCAGCCCCTCTCTCATTCCTATGTTAGATACAGGTAGGTGACTATAGGTCGCTTGATATTCCGCCATGCTACTTACTATAGTATCACTGAGGCGAGTGTTCATAAGTGGCTAGTACATACTATCGAGTACAGGTACGAATATCGTACACTCGTAACAGTGTAAGTACAATTGTATAGAACCAATCATAACAAATACTATGGGTACTGCGTATTTCAGTGACCTGTCGAAAAAACTACAATTGATTTCATGCCCGATATGTTTATAAGCTTGTTTTGACGCATAATATAATTACCTCCACAATACAAAAGAATGAACTTGTAGCGCTGAATATTATTTCGAATGATGAACCTGATTGGCAGGAATTTATTTCGTACTTCGAAGTTCGATAGCCAATCAAATGACCTTATACTTGATCCCACTCGAAGAAAAAGTAGGCCTTGCATTCTGAAGTTCCGTGAGCTATGGTGCAAGAAGCCTAGAAACGACGATATTTTGAGCACTTTTTAGAGCGTTATACCATTTGCAGTATTATTTTTTCCTGGCAAATTAACCACAAAAACGATAGATCTCGACAAGGTGAATCGATCATGTGGTTCCAATTCACAATTGACGAAAAAATGAGAGAGCTATTTTAGTTTAACCGATCGCCTTGCTACAACAGAAATGTATGGGCTCGGACGTATTTTGGCCATCCCATACGTCTTGACGTTTGTATGGGCCAGTTATCCCTACGTAGATTGAGTTTAACCTATCATTATCCAAGGTTTAACCTCGCAGATTACTGGAGGATTTCTGCGCTTCACTTGCAGTGATTATGTGACATTTGATTTGGATCATCATATGCTTTACTGTCCGGTTGAGGGCAACATACCCGTATACTAGTACTACGTAGTACTAGTACTATTTACTGTTAATACAGTACTTCGAAGTACTATTGTGCTTTTCACTCGTTTTGGCTATTCACACCATAAACCTGGGTGTTTGTTACATCGACCCCAGTGTTTTAGATCATCCGTACAGTGAATTAGGATGACGTTTCGTTACAGAATGTAATTATAGGGAGGTCATTTATGCAACTCCCTCGCTTTTGCACATTTGAAAAGTGCAAATCGAAGTTATATCTGCTATTCTCGGGACCAAATTCACAATTCACTGGTCTTCATGAACAACTTTTGATATTACAAATGACACACAGCGAGGACATGCGCCTGTGTTCTACCGTACAGCGATGTACGTATGGTTCCACATCGTAGAAAACCACGCCATCTTCTTGTTCCATCGCATAGTACATGCAGGTAGCGCGTACTACGCGATGGAATAACAGCCAAGGTGTTTTGGTCACTTCAGCATCACATGTGATTATTATTGCTCAGAGTTATTAGGTATTTATAAAACCCCAGTGAATTACACTGGGGTTTTATAAATACCTAAAACACCAGGTATTTATTCAACTTTGTGTAACACAGTTACAGCAGATGTACCACTCTTTTAGCCACGTAAAACCGACGCCAAAACAAGTGCAAAGCACAATATTTACTGTTAATAGTACTCCCGGGGTACTATTTACTTACAGACTACAGTACTTTGCAGATGCACAATATACAGGTCGCGTAACCGTGCCCATCATCCGGTTCTAATCAGATGACTAGTCGACACCTCTTCAGTCCAAGGCGTCACTTCGCTTACCAAGATGTCCTCTCGCGAGACCAAGGTGTTCTCCCGACGATACATCAATGGTTGGTTGCGCGATCTCGCGAGAGGACATCTTGGTAAGCGAAAGGAAACCTTGGACTGAAGGATGAAGGATCCACATTAAAGTAACACTTGCAGTACTGTGGATTGATACACTGCGCGATATGCGATCGTACTATCCGCATACCCTTGCTTTCTTCGTGGTTGTTGGTGGTCGAGGTTTTCTAGGCAGTCAAAGATGTACTCACGTTAGTACGACTTTTTCGGTGGCAAGTGCAGAATCCACACGAACCCACTGAGCGTTGGAAGTACCCAATTGGGGGTGAAGGAGGCGAAAGGTGCACGGGTGAACGTACTGTACCCACATCTGTGGTGGGATTGACTGCGTGAAGTACAATTCCCTCATTACTATTAGTTCCATCCATATAAATCTCATTGAAGTATTTCGGGTCAAAACAACAGTAGAACGGGTTTACTGTAACCAGTTCCACTGTTGTTTTGAACCTCTTACTAAGGGGTTAAGTGCAGTTAACCCCGGAGATTTAGCATCGTATGTACTCCCCGGGGGTAGGACGGAGTCCCAGGTTACAGGACTACAGTACTGGAGAAAAGGTGTATCCGGATGTAATAATTCCCTCATTGAAACAGTATTTCGGGTCAAAACAACCGTGGAACTGTTAAATGAGGGAATTATTCCAATCATCCACTTGGTAAACCTTGGTACTTGGTACCGGAGTACTAGTATTTATGAAGCCAAAGTTGACTTACTATCAATGACAAGAGGTGCGTGACTACATGGTACAGTATGTATGTTGTACGCATCCATTTAGTAAACCTTGGTACTTGGTAGTGCAATCACAGTCTGACGTTAATGATTGGATTGACTTGGCTGTAGATGAAAGACCATTCATTTTCCAATTTCCACCATGAAGTTCGCACTTCTTCTCGCTTTGACCGTGGCCGTCGCTGCCTTGGCTCGAGACCAAATTGTCCCAGCCAAAGTTGCTTGGGGCGATGAGGCCCCTGACGACGGTTTCGAAATCGTCGGGGACCAGGAAGCCCAATTCGGCCAGCACCGTTATGTGGCTGGGCTCAAGCCGGCGCCCAATAACATAACCGTGTGCGGCGGCAGTCTGATCGCCCCCAATGTCGTTTTGACAACGGCGCATTGTTTGACTGGTAAACTACCGTCTGTGGTCGTGGGCACGCACTATATATTCGGTTTTGCCGACGGGGAACTGGCCACTGTCACCCAGGAAATCAAAGACCCCAGTGGCGCCGACTTGGGCATCGTAATCTTGGACCGCAACATCACGAGCATCCAACCTGTGACGGTGTCGTTTGAATTCGTTCCGGCGGACGTGCTCACTTGGGTACGTGGCTGGGGACGCCTCTGGGGTCGTGGCCCCAAATCGCGAGTACTCCAGGAGGTCAGCGTCACGACCTGGAACAATACCAGGACATCGGCTGCGTTGTTCCCCCATCCAGTGAATGATACCGAGTTGGGTGCTGGAGGGGTGGAAGGAGAAGACTCATGTGACGGCGACTCGGGGGGACCGTTGACCATCGAAGAAAACGGTACCGCGCGCTTGGTGGGGGTGATCGCCCGGGGTTTTGGCTGTGGTCTGCGCGGCATCCCAGGTATCTATGAACGCACAAGCGCTGCTCGTGCGTTCATTGAACCGTACTTGCCAAAGTAAGTCAGACTTGCGCGTGCCATAATGAAAGCGACATGGCCTAGACGCAACCCACTTGGTTGAACATACAACCGACTTGGTTATGAAAGGCCAAACTCGCTCGTGTAGTGTTTGTGGTAAACATCGTTAATTTGATGAATAACAACAACCTGAATAGCGCCGAGGGATTCGCGATATTGAAGTTCGCAAAACCATTCTGTCAGTGGAAGATATCTACTTTTGTATGCTCGATGCAATCTCTTGCATCATTGAAAAACCATATTACTATAACAGGCAGAACGTGTCCTAGTGGCACTTACTGTTATCGATCTCTGCACGAAGCGTGCTGGGAAAAGATTATTTTCGAGCAAACGATGGATTATTTCCGAGCGAGGCTTTGGGATGGAGCATTTTTGAGCGTACTTACAGTTAGACTGTTGCAGTCTTTTCCAGCGTACTTACCGGTAGATGGAAGATTAGCTGTTGTGATGGAGTGGATTGTTTTAGAGCATTACTGATATTACCTAATGTGACATCCCTCGGTTACACGACTTACAGCGTACTGCATCCACTGGGACAAACCGGATTGATAGTTCAAGGAAGTTAAGATATTTCGATTCAATTTTGGATACACAACACACTGTCCACAAGGGGTTAATGCGCAAACCCCGGGCATAACATTGTACGTACGTTATCCGGGGTGGAGACGTAGTCTCCGTGGGGGAAAGGGTATGGTCGTAGTATTCAGGATTCATCCCATGTCATCCAAGTCATCCAAGTCAAAATATAGGCATTGGCGAATTTATTCTATTAGCTTGAACACAGTAACACACAATGAAATTAATATATACTACTCTGGAAAGAAATATAAGGAAGTGGATGTAATTACAAAATAGTACTTGGATTTTGTATGTGATGACTTCGTGTAGTACCAGTGTACTACTGTAGTACCACCCATCCATATTGGTACGGAAGGTGATCTGTAAATTTAATATGGGATAAAGTATGAAGCATCAATCCATGCAGATGTCCTACTTTCGAAGTGGGTGATAATCAGATATTTTAATATGGGCTGAAGTAAGGCATCTTCAATCCACCCTAACTCTTTTCCTTCTATTTTTTCTGACCAATGGAAGTCGCGTTGGATTCGTCGTGGTTTGATTGGTCTATCGATATCGAATCCATCCAGTTTGGACAATTTATGAAAAAACTATGCACCATTATATACAAATTTCCTTATATTTCTTTCCAGAGTAGTAATCGATTTCATCCATGTGTCATCCCATCCGTAAGTCTTAAATACAGGTTTGCAAAGGTCTCTCTCTATTGACGCACTCCCCCAGTCCGCTTCCTGCCACCATCGCCCCAGATAGCAAGAAGACGGTCACCGCTGTATTACGCGGCGATGGCGGACGGTGGAGTGCAGGACTGCTTCGATGATGGAGGACATTGTAGTATGACCACGGCGGCGGATAGTGGGGTGGCAATGATGGTAGACGGTGACTATAATGACCACCATCATCGATGTACTGTACCGAGCAATTCTAACGAGTGTCCCCGCAGCCTTCGCGATCGCAGGTAAGTGGTTTCCGTAGGCCCGTCACGGTGCGGAACCGTCTTCTTACCGGCACTGCCGTGGATGCCACAACGTTAAACTAACTTCACGTTGCGTCAACTACTTGTGAGCACCTGGGCAAGGATAACGCGCCGCCATCGCATGGCCTAGCTTAGCATTGCACTAAAACACCCCTGTTAAGCCAACCTTGCTCGGTGTTGGTAATTACCTGATACGGTTATTATCACACAGGTCAAGTGCCCTGTGTTGGCGTTAACACTGCCCGGATAATATTACTCTTATCCGGTTATTTGATGCAGTGGCTGTGCATGGTTTGGTTGTTGCCTTTACCCTCCAATCAGATCTGCAGATCTGATTGGTATCCCACTCTATGTTTCTATGGCTATGATTTGATGTTGGCGGCA